ATATTTATGGATCTTGTTATTACCTATTGATTATGTGAGAAAAATGAAATATTTGAATTTATTTAATAGATCCGCAATTCAAAACATTCCATTTATTAAATTAACTTCAAAAATTTCTTTTCAATGGAAAGATTTAGTTTTAATTGATAAGCAGCAACAATCACATGATTGGGATATTCATGTGAGAAATTAGTTCCATTAAAGATCAGTTGTGGATCTCTTATTGAATCACTCGATTACCTCTAAAGATCTATATTTTACATATTTAGTTTCTCTGTTATTAGAAAATAGCAACATAACTACTCTTTCTCAGCAGATTTGGATTGTGCAAATTTTATATGGATGGTCTATATTTTATATTTCAATCTTATTTTTAATATAGATAATATATTTTTATATTGAATATTTAAAAAAATGTCTTTGTATCAATTTTTTAAATTATAAAATTTTAAAATGTGAAGAAAATATGTATAAGTCCTTAATGAGATCAATTTGACCGAAATGAAATCATTGCCTAAGTAGGCATCACGTTATGATATTTCACTAAATAGGCAATCGATGCTATATATATAACTAAATTAGTATTACTGTAGCTTTCATGTTTTTATGAATTTGGGTGTAGTTTCTTAATTTTTGATTTTTATGTATAGTTTCTTAAAAAACATTTTTAACCAGTTTCCTTTTATTTTATAGAGAATGACACACAAAAATTTCCCGAATAAGTGAATGACAGGAAAATACCACGAAATATAATAATTATTCTGAGGGACTTCTTTGACATTGATTATTTTAATAAAATTTCCATTCTAACCCTCTGAATGAAAAGATAAAGAATCACCCAAACTGTTGATTTTGTGCTCTAATCTTCAGTCATTGACAATAGTTTCCAATAATAACTTCAACTCCAAATCACTACTTTCCTCAACCTAAGTATCCATGATAGATGAGCTCTGATCTAATGGCCTGGGTGCCATAGCTCCTACGCCCACCAACACAAGGACTTGACTATTTGGTTTAGCCAGATATTTCAAATCAATAATTTAGATGCATTTATGCTTAGAAAATGAAACAGATAACTTTGAACCTTATTAAAAGAAGTAAGGAAAGGCTAAAGAAAATACTTTTGCAAGTTGTTAATAGAGATTTCTTTGTTAACAATATTTTTAAAAGTTTTGTAAATCACAGAGCACAATAACATAATACAATTTATATAGTTGACCTCACCTAATGGGATAAGGTTTGTTGTTGATGTTATTGTATGCTTGGAGAGGTCTGAGGGAAATTAGCGATGAGCTTGATGTTTATGTAAGGAAAAGAAGGAGAAGATGACCAAGAGGGCATGAGGAGGAGAGAGCAAGATCCAAGGGATTCGCCTTCTTTCAAGCTTCTTTTATCTAATGTGTAATTCATTCATTGATATCTCAAACAATAATGAGCATATATATATATATATATATATGTATATATATATATATAAAAGTCATTATGTCTACCTTTATGCCTACCTGCCTAGAAATAATGACAAGCTTCGTTTTCTTGCAAGCTTTCTCTAGCTGATATGTAATCAAAGAGCTCTCCAAAATTAAGATACTCCATCACAGTATAAATGTTTGTATGTGTTTCTATAACCTCATAAACTCTTACAATGTGAGGATGCACCAACATTTTTGCAATTCTGATCTCTCTTTGCACTTCAACACAGTAGAGAAATCAATTATATGTATTTTTGTTTGATGATATTTAGATGAATGTATTGAAAATTACTGATATTTAGAGAAAAAGTTTTTTCTTTAAATACCAGTGAACTTCAAAACGTTCATTTGACTACTATCAGAGAGAAACATATATAATTGATTTCTCTAATGTGTTGAAGTGGAAAGAGAGATCAGAATTGCAAAAATGTTGGTGCATCCTCACATTGTAATAGTTTATGAGGTTATAGAAACACATACCAAACATACATATTGTGATGGAGTATCCTAATTTTGGAGAGCTCTTTGATTACATATCAGCTGGAGGAAGCTTGCAAGAAAAGCAAAGCCCATCTTTCTTTCTTTTTTTTTTTCTAAGAAAGTTGACAAACTTAATTTTATTCAATGCTCATTATTGTTAAAGATGTTTATGAATGGATTACATATAAGATAAAGGAAGCTTGAAGGAAGGTGAATTCCTCTCTCCTCCTCATGCCATCTTGGTCATCTTCTTCTTATCCCTTACATAAACATCAACCTCATCACCAATTTCCCTCAAACCTCTGCAGCAACAGCATCAACAACAATAACAACAAAAGCAGCAGCAACAACATCTCACTAGATGAAATTGCTATATGAATTGTATGACGTCATTGTACTCTATCAATTACTAAACTTTAGAATGTTGTTAACCAAAAAGTCTTTATTAACAACTTTTAAAAGTATTTTCTTTCACTTTCTTCTACCCCTCTTAATGAGGGTCAAAGTATTAATTTATTAATTTGAAATATTTAGAAGGTTTTGATTAATAACTTTTAAAAGTATTCTCTTTTGCCTTCTTCTACCCCTCTTAACTAGGGTCAAAGTATTAACTTATTAATTTGAAATATTTAGAAAGACCAAATATTCAAGTCCTTGTGATGGTTGGTGTAGGAGGTATGGCACTCCATTTTATCAAAGATCATCTCTCTTGGATATCCAGGTTGAGGAAAGTAGTTATTTGGAGTTGAAGTTATCACTAGAAACCATTATAGTAGTTTGGGCGTCTCTTTCTCTTTTTATTCAGAAATAATTTATGTCAAAGAAGCCCTTTGGGACTCGAAAATAATTATTATATTTTGTGGTACTTTTATATCATTTATTTATTTGGGAGGTATTTTTGTGTTGTTTTTCCATTATAATTTCCATATATTCTTTATGACAATTCATCTAAATGCTGGCCTCTTTCAAGTTAGTTCTTAATTGTGAAGTCACCTTATATTACCTCTTCCGAACCCAAATATAAGTAATTTTTTAAGTTCTAGGGTCCAAGATGTAAATCACCTCGATGTCATTAGCTAGTTATTTTTCACAAATACCTTTATTTATCATTAAATACTTATTTTGAGAATCAACAAGCAAATAGATAGACATATCAGTTATCAATAGCAAACTTGAAAAATAATTTCAATTTGGAACATTTTAAATACGAAAAATTAACTTTAACCAGTTTTCTTAATATGTATGATATAGGTAATTGTAACTTATTTTTGAAATCAAAGGTAGCATAAGATTACAGTTTTTTTTAGCTATTATAATAAATTAAGTAAATTGTAGCTAACCCCCACCTAGTGGTTTGTTGTGGTTGTTCTATAAATGATGTAATTTGTTATAAATTCTATTATACACACAAACACTGAGACTTTAATTAGAAAGTTTGATGTGTTTTATAAACTGAGTGAAATTTAAAAAATGACTTGTTTACTACTTGTAAATAAATGTGATATTGGATATCAATTATTACTAAAGAATTTGTTATCTACTAATGGCGTTTGGGTCTAGCAAAAAAGGTTAGTCCTTCACAACATAGCAAATCAAGTTTTAAATTTTTGGTGGGGGATATGCCCATATTTAGTGCCTGACTATGCCTCAAATAAAATTGTTTCTAATAGAAGGATACATGTGAGAAATTAAAAAAATAGAATTTGTTATCTAGTGGGCCTTGTTTTAGTAATTGATAATGGAAGAGAATGAAAATAATAAAGAACACACAATTTGAATTTTGGCTCCATTAATGTAAAAACAATGCTTTGCTGTTTATTGAGGTGATTTTTTTTTAATACATGGTCACAAGAAACCAGTGCAAGTAGAAAAAACTGTCTAGTCATATCAAAATATAAGATATTTCTATGTAATGGTCTTATGTCTTTCTTCTCTTTTCACTCATACCTTTCAGCCATTTTCAATTATAGAATTCAATATGAAGCCAAGTACCTCATCAGCCACTCCACCAAAGGTCTCTCTCTCTCTCTCTCTATCATTCCTTTTCAAAACTAAGTTTTGAATACAATAATATATTGCATTTCAGGTCAAGAGTGGCAGAGTACAAAAGAAGGTAAAAACACACTCTACAATTATCTTCAAAATTATACTAAGAATGGAAAAAAATAATAGATTCTTTGTCTAGAATAAGATGGTCTGTGTTTTAAACTACATCAGTTTGCTATATCTATACATGTAGATGGTGATGGTTATAACAAATTGCTCAGCCAAATATTACATATCCTATCATATATCAATATCACTAGCTATGTATAAAGGTGATGGACCATATAATAAAAAATATAAGGATAATATAACTTTTAGTTCCTCAAGTTTGACTTAATTGTTGATTTAGTCTCCCAAATTTTATTTTTATCGATTTAGTCTCTTAAAGTCACATCGATTATTGACTTAATCCTTATTGTTTAAAAAAGAACCAACCTTGTTAAAATTCATTGACATGAATCACATAATATTGATGGAAGCCATAAAGATTATATTGATGACAAGAAGTGTAATTATTTAGTTAGAAGGAAAAAAAACTCAAAAGTTTTAAAAAACAAGAGAACAAAATACAATATAAAGGATTATATTGATAAAAAATAAACTAATTTGATGGCTAATTTATTTTTATTTAGCTTCATAGATATGTCAAGTCATTAATATACTTTGCACATTAGATTATTTTAAAAGTCAATTTGTGTTTTAAAACTTCAAAGACTTATATGATAATTTTAAAAATATAAAGGATCAAATCGATATAGATTGAATTTCAGGGACTAAATCAATAACTAAGATAAATTTAAGGAACTGCAAGTTTCATTGTCACAAAAAAATAAATTATAGTTCATTTCAAAATTTAAATGCATGATATATTTTGCTATACTATGATGTGTCTTATCGAATAGAAATTTGAGCAGGTTACAAGTAGGAACCCAGAAAGACTTTCGAGGTTAGCTAATTAATTGATTTACTTTGTCACCTTTATATTGTAGAATATAGAAGACAATGGCTCCATATTCATACTTGTACTCTATTTATATAGATCGACAAGATCAATCAATAATTCTCAATCACAAGCTGTGGAACAAGCGAAGGAACTTCAAAGAACTCTATCTCCTGAATTTCCAAGTTTGATAAAAATAATGTTGTTGTCTCATGTGTCGGGCCAGTTTTGGCTGGTAAAATCAATTCTTTAATATGAAACTAAAGCATTGTTTTTAAGTGTTAGTTATTATCATCTTCATTGATGAAAATTCACATGAATATATATTTCTTCTAATTAAATATGGGGTCTTTCAAAACTATTAAATCTCGCATATCATGTCTTTATTGACAAAAACTTGATGAAAAATATAACTTTTGCTTTCTAAATTCATTAATTTAGTCCCTAAATTTTGACTCAAAATAATCTAGTCTTCATAGTTTTTTGATTCAATACAACTTAATCCCTATAAATTTTTCACTTGATAAATTATGAGAAATGAGTTATATTGAGTCAAAGTTTAATGATTAAATCAATAATTAAAAGAAATTTTAAGAATTAAAAGTTATATTATCTTAAAATCTGATGACAAATGCATGTGAGGTATAAGAATGATATACTTAGCACTACATTTTGTAATGGCAGGGCCTTCCTAAATATTTCTGCGAGGTGAATTTGCCCAAGACTGATTCTATGATTGTTTTGGAAGATGAGAGTGGAAAAGAATATAAAACAAAGTATCTTACCGATAAGATAGGTTTAAGTAGTGGTTGGAGAGGGTTTTCTACAGCTCATAATTTACATGAGGGTGACGTTTTAGTTCTCCATTTAATCCAACCTTTAAGGTTCAAGGTACATAACCGTTTCATCATGATGAGAATTTGTCACAATGCTTTATTCAAGTTATCAAGTTGGTAATCTTTAATGTCTTTCATGTCCTAAGGTGTACATCATAAGATCTCATATGTCAAATGAAATGGATGCTGCTCTAAGCCTTCTATGTTTAAACAGTTGCATGCAACAACATGATCTTGGTATGTTTCCTATATGTAATTCTCATTCCTTTGTTTACTTTGACATTCCTATGTTTCTAATTGATTTTTGCAATCTCATCATTCTAGATGTTCCTCAAGAAAATGACTTAAACAATAACAGAATGATATGTGATGCTATACCACTGTCAAATCACCTTGACTTCACAAGTGATGATTTAGAAGAAAATGTTGGTCTTGAAGCTTTGAATGGGATTGTATTGGCGAGATCTATGATCACTTTCCAACAAGTAACAAGTATTGATAATTTTAGCATCGTGGTTAATGGCTTGGTACTTGACTCCCAACTACCCCAACACCTCAAAACCAAATACTATGAACTTTGTTGTAGTCAGCAAATGTTTCTTCATGAGCATCTTCTTGGAGGTCAAAATTGTCAACTAGTCATTGGAATGATTCGTGAGATCATTAATATTTCTGATGCCATTAAAGCTAGCAAGATCACAACCCCTTCAAGTAGTTTTGTTGTGTGGCATAAAAAGTTAAAAGGCCTTGAAACATGGGGCATGAACGTTAGGTTCTTGCTTACTAGGCTAGAACAGCTTATGATTTTAGCTTCAGAACTTAAGAGCTACGAGGAGGCAAGGAAAGATCAAGAGCACATTGAAAAAGAAAAGAAAGATCTTGAAATAAAACTTGAAGAAGTTGAAGAAACAATAAAAAGACTTGATGGTGAGATTGACTCTCTAAATCTAAACCCTGAGATGTTGGAGGTTGAGTTTCAAGAACTTGCTAATGCTCATTGGTGATATAGGTACATATATTGATGCTTTCTTTAATGTGTTTTTATATTCAAATTTTCTCATGAAGCATAATAGTAGTTATGTAATAAAAGATATAGACACAAAAATCAATTACTTGTAGAAAAAGAAACAAATTTTGTTCCAAATTCTTTATTCACATGACTATCATGTCACATGAAAGTATTCAAATTTTGTCTCTTCAAAAATGATTGAGCTTAAGTTCAAGGTGTAACAAATGTTAAGTATAAATAGTTCTCTGGAGTGGATCCTTGGAGTTGCTCTATATTTCATTGGGAAGCTCTAGAGTTAATCATTTTCTATTGCATATACAAACTTAAGATCAAATATTTTTCTAGGTAAAAGTATGTGATCCATGTATATAAAAAATTATCATAATATAATAGATCTTGTTGTAAATTCAATTGCTTGTATCCTTCAATTTAATGGATTAATGCAATTGGTTCCTCCTTCAAATGGAATTTGTGACAAGTTTTTGACAAACTAGAGGTTTTGTTTCAATAGTTAAATCTTAGATAGGTTCTACTTGAGAATCAACACGAAAGTGTAAGACCAATGCTTATAATGAGTTTTCTATTGATCATGAACCAAGTGATAGGGGATATATTGATGTTGCAAATTTGAACACCAATTTACATTGGCCACTATTTGAACATACTATTACACATTTGGAGTTATATGACATCTTAATCTTGAAGACGTTTCTATTACATCTTTATAATCTAGGAAATTTCTATTGCAGGTGACCCCAGAGCAAAACAAATCCCATGGTGTGTAATTTTTTCATATATTTATTTCAATTTTCGGTAGCTAGATGTAACTCTCTCTGTAGCAATGAAGATATATATATATATATATATATCTATATATAAAGCTCTTCAAGACATAAAACTCCTTTGCTCACTAACTATATGTTGGAGAAATGCTACTTATCTCATGATGAACAAGTACAATATAATGAGAAGTGCAAGATTGAAAGTGGATATATACACCAAGTCACCTAAAGGATAATTGGGTTGTTGTTGTTGTCATTTGGAAAGGAAACAATAATGAACAGGACCTTGGTTTTGTATAGAAAAGACTTCCTTAGTATAGCTAGGAATCTAATATTGTGTGATTAGGATGCCTCATTATTCTTTTTCCTTATACTGATTGTATCCTTGCTATCCATGACATTACTAGGATAAGTTCTATTAAAAAAAATTTAGGAAATTAAATCCCTTGGACTATTTTAGAAAAACATAGACAAATATATGCTCCTTCTGTTGGACAACAAACACAAAGGTAGGATGTTAACTTTTCTTACAATCATCCTTTACACTCATATTCTCAAATAGAGAAATCAAAATCACTTCAATTGAAAAGTTTGATGTCATTTTTCAATTTATTGAAACTCTTTTTTATAGTAATTAGCTTAAGAAAGAATAATAATGGGACCTACATTGATATTCTATGTCTTTTTCAATACAATTCCTACTTAGTGGAATGAAATTTGCATATTCTATTTCTTTTATCTAATATAAATTAATTTAGTTCAATGAAATTAAATTTTCCTCAATCATTTTTCCTTAATTTGACTGCAGGTTATTCAATAAAGGAATCATCAAATAGGAATAGATAGTAATGTAAAAATGATTGTTTGGGTGAGATCTGTGTTTCTTTTATATTTGTGTTATTCTTCTACTAGTGAACTGTTTGGGTGAGATAGCAATGCAAGTGGGATCTTTCACAACCTCTTCTTTCCTTCAAATTTCAAGTTATAACTATCTTCTTTCATTTGTGTAATGGATTTGAGAAGCTAAGATTGGCGAAGCATCATCCTTTTTTAATTTAGCATAAGACATGATTAAAGGTGAGTTCTTCGAGCAATTAATTTTCATAATGCCTTGATGAAATTGCAAATTTGAGTCTTGTCTCCTTTATTTAGGAAAAATCAAAGCACAAAGAAGAAGCCAATCATAGACTCATCTTTGGCCCAAGGGCATATATAACTTTCTATTATCATTAGCTTATTTAGTTTTATGAACAAAATTCTATTTATCTAATTCGCTATCTAAAGTGTTTGTCTTTCATAAAATAAGATTACAAGGAGAAGGAGAGGGCAAGGAGGTATTCATTGTATCCATAGACACCTTCATTATTAAATTGTTAAATTCTTATTGAGTCATTTTACTAATATTTCTTCAATTTGATTTTATGCAAAGTAGTAAATAATAATCCCATCTCTTGATTTTATCTTTGTTGAAGTGCTTATCTACTTCACCATGTTTTAATTTCTTTCATAAAGGAGTAGATATGCTAAACTCAATTTTTTGAAGGCTATGGAAATATTGAGATTAATTATTGTTTTATATCTTAGGAACTGGTTTATTCTTATTAATTTGGTCTATAGATATGTAATTTGGGATTCTAATTTATTAGCCAAACATGGTCATTTAGTGGCATCCTCTTTCATAATTCTTGATCAACCTATACCTTTCTTTCAGGAGGTGGAGAATGATGAAGAATGTTCCTTTAGCTCTTTTCTTTTCTTGCTTTTGTCTTTCTTAGTACTTGATCTCTTTTGGTAATATAGATTTTAGTTTTCATTAAGAGAGAGACACAAAGAGAGAGATTGTTCTACATCCTGGGTCATTTAAGATTTTAGTTTCCAGTAAGCTAGAATTGCTATAATGTCAAGTTGGTAAGTAGATATATATTTGTCCCCCTTCATGATCCTTTTTTTAAGAATAAATTAGAAGCTTAGCATTTGATTGTGTTGTTTCTCTATAAGTCAAAGAGTTATCTAGATTGTGCAAGAAGTTACTAATATCATTAATATTTGGCTCCATTGAAGGCAAGATTGGAAGTCAGTTATGTGATTTATGTTCATGCTTTTGCAATTATGTTGTACACTTTTTAATGAATTATCCTTTTAATTGTTTTTATTTGCAGTCAATTGGGTTTATTGGTGAAATAACTTTTACTATTATTGTCTTATGATTTGTTTTATATGGCTTGGCTCTTGTATTTCATTCATGCTACAAATAGGAGATTAGCATTGAAGATGGCGATCAAATCAATTAAAAGAATTTGTCTTGTACTCATATTGCTTAGTGAGGAGAAAAAAGTTACAGAAAGTATTTACCTCAATTAATTAACTTGATATGAACTTTTTCTACTAGTAGGCACTCACTCTAAGATCTAATCTCTTTACTGTACTTACCATGAACATGGTAGATGAAGAACTAATGATCTGGATGACTAACTTATTCATCATGTGTATGTGTAAAAAACATACGTTTGAATCAAATTCATATCATATCTAACAAATTTAGTTATAAGGATTTACTTTTTGTATAGCTTGAGCCTATCTAAAAATTAATGTTATTGTATCTCATATCACTAATTTTTTTGTGATACCATTGCAAAAAGAAAGGGAAGAGTGTGTTGTTATTATTTGGTGTACTTTTGATCAATATGGTTGAACACTAATTGCAGTTTTCAGAATTATTGCAAAGTAATTGGATAGAGTCAACTATTTTTGATGTTATCAATAGCAAGTATTTTTTGCAAGGATTTTCTATCTATTATTTAGTTTATTCATTGTTCCCATCAACTTTCTTGTGTAAAACCTTAAAGTTATTTGTATGTGTAGGTTCTACCATGATTAGATATGGATGGATAGGCCAAAAAGGAAAGAATGTAGAGGATACGTGAGTATTCAATTGCCAAACATCATTATGGTTGTGGTATTTATTTTTATGATAAGATTCGACCTTAACTCTACAAGTACTTTATTCATATTAACGAAGTGTTTATTGTCCTCCTACTATTTCTTTTTCAAGAATTTTGAAAGTAAAAAGCCCATAAGGCATGCTTAATAAATCCTTTTTGAGTTTTGAATATGGGTCTCTTAAATTTTCCTTTCTAGGCTTCTTAATTTCAAAAGCTTTGAAAAATGCATCTCATCTTTTTGCATTCTTCATGATGCACTATTATTTTTCTATAACTTTATGACATGCCTACTAATGATATAACTTATTGTTTGTTGCTTCTAACAAGGATGATAGTATTGATATCTTCTACTTTTGGTATGTGGTTTGATTCATGTCACTTACCTCTCCCAGGACACGTTCTTAAATATAGACCTTTAATAAGTGCAATTTTGTTTTTCTACAATTATGTATCTAAAATAATGCCATATAAGATATACACATGGCACATCCTTTATATATATGTATATATATATATATTTAGGGGAGGGTTAAGAGAAGAATTTTCCCTCCCCTCCACTGTAATTTTGCACCAACTTGCTTCTTTAGCATATATCATACATATCCTCCTTTACCAACTTTTTTTATTTCATCTCTTTTAATTTAGAAGATATAATGCTTTTTTTCATTGTTATTAGTTTTGCCGATCTCTATCTGCACTAGTATTAAGTTTCTGTTATAATTATTCTAGTGCTAAGGATAGTGACAGCATTACTAAAGAATTGGAACAAGTGCGACAAAGTTATACTTACCTATGCATGTTGTTAATGTATCATCCCAAATATTCTAAACTCTTGTAACTTGTGAAAGGGTAATTCTTTTGTTTCTGGGTGTAAATAGGGAAATTTTTTAATTTATGAAATTCCTACCTTCTTCCACAAGCATACAGGTTTATTGAAAAAGTCAACTACATGTAGACGTTAGCCTCCCTATTAACTAGTCAAAATGTAGGCCTCAACCACAAGTAGAAGAATATTCGAAGAAAATAATGGTGAATGTCAGGATTAGCATTTAAATTTTGGGAATCATAATAGAATGTGAGGGTTTTCATTTTCAGGTGTGGATCTATGAAAGAGGAGGATAGTCTAAGGAGTATAAGCTGAAAATCCAAGGCCATTGAGGCTTTCATTGCTTACTTGAGGTAAATGGTTACATTTCTCTTCCTCTTTTTCTTTTGCAACCGATGAGGATATGAGATTTATTGGGATTTAGTTGCATGATAGCCTTAGGTCC